GCTGCTGGGGTGCGGTTCTGGCTGGGGCGCGGCGGCGAGGGGCCGGCCCGCTACCCCGGCGGTCTTTAAATTCCCCCTTCCTCGGGCGGGCTTGTGCACACTTACCTGCCAGACTGCAGCGAGTGTCCCACCACTCTGCACTTCCAACGACTTTTTTTCATCTGTTTTAGGCAGGAGATGCTGTTGCTTGATTGCAACCAGGAGGTGAGACCCGGTCCCCTTTTGTCCTGTAGGCTAAGGCTTCCGAATGTTTCTTCCCGGGAGCGCTAGCGGGCTTAACAGTGGACTAACTACAGGGTGCTGCCGAGTCAAGCCTTGTCAAAACTGGAAGGTTTTGGAATGGGAGATTTTCAACCCGGAGAGGGCGCGGGACTGGACAAAGGCAAGAGAGATGCTGGATCTCTTCTCTTCCCGCAGGTGGATAGTCTGAAGCATTTGCTGGAGACGGGGGCCTCCGTCAACGCACCCCCGGATCCCTGCGAGCAGTCGCCTGTCCACTTAGCTGCAGGTGGCGGCCTTGCTTGCTTTCTTCTCTGGCAGCTACAAACGGGCGCTGACCTCAACCAACAGGTAACTAGGCAACTGATTGTTGCTGTGTACAGTTCTCCCCTCCACACAAACATTTCTGAGACGTCAGAATATCCAGTTGGTATAAACATTTCTATAGCAGCGATGCCCAATAGAAATATGCAAGACATGTAATTTTAAATTTTTTAGTAGACATTAATGAAGTAAAAAATGAAATTAATTTTAGTAAGTTAATCCACTTTATCCAAAATGTTAACCTTTCAATATGTAATCAATATGAAACAATTATTTATTTATTTATTTTTTTAAAAGATGACCGGTAAGGGGATCTTAACCCTTGACTTGGTGTTGTCAGCACCACGCTCACCCAGTGAGCGAACCGGCCATCCCTATATGGGATCCGAACCCGGGGCCTTGGTGTTATCCGCACCGCACTCTCCCGAGTGAGCCACGGGCCGGCCCAGTATGAAACAATTATTGATGAGATGTTTTACATTTTCGTTCCGTACTACGTCTTCACAGTCCGGTGTGTATTTTTTCTTTCCAGCATATCTCAATTCCGAATAGCCACATTTCAACTGCTGTTTAGCTATAAGTGGCTATTAGCTATCACATTGGACAGGGTAGGACTAGTTTGTTTCAGAAGTAATTGCTGCATTACCAAAAGTCTTAGTATAGCAATTGAAATACTTGTGAGATATGCTCACAACCATTACAGTTTGCACCTTTCATTGAATGTTAAAGTATGGTGGACTTCAGAATGTAAACTTTTTTTACTTCTGTAGAACTCTATTTTGCTTTTACTTGTTTTATGTGTGTGGATGTGGCTACAAGTTTTTATTAATGAAAACTTTGTATTAAATAGTACACTACAGGACCTTTATAAAAAATTAAAAGCCTGAATTAAAAAATTTGGTATAGTACAATGCACTTCTAACTAGTTTTCTCAAATAGCTAATATGAGACTTCACTCACCAACTTCCACAAGGAAGTGTTTTCGAAAGAGGCACTAAAATATGCCGTCTTATCCTTAAGGATGTTTTGGGAGAAGCTCCACTACACAAGGCAGCAAAAGTTGGAAGCCTGGAATGCCTTAGCCTGCTTGTAGCCAGTGATGCCCAAATTGAGTGAGTAATAAAATCAGCAGCTTCAAATTTGTATTATCTTGGATTAAACTAATCAGACTCCTGAAGCTTATTTACATGTGCTTTTAAAAATAATGCTTTTCTGATTGATAATTTAGTGTTATCATTTAAATGTTAACTTAGGTTATTAGTAATATCTAATAATAGTCAAATTTGAGTAAGTAAAAAATGGATCCTGAGCATTCAGAGGTGCTATTCTGTTCAGTATGAAACTATTCCACTTCAGTTTTGGTTTAAGAAAACCCATTCTGTAGAAGTTCTCATTGACTACCTTTGGGTATTCATTCAGTGTACTGAACACCAGATACTGTTGCATTCATTCCAAAACGGAATGCCTACTCTATGCTGGACTCCACTAGCCACTGAAGATATGACAGTGAGCAAAACGAAATTTTCCTGTTCATCCTTTACCTCTTCTATTCTGCAACCAGCATTTATATGAACCCCAAATTTCTTTGTTAAAAAAAACCCGAAAAAACTAAACAATTATCAATTTTTATTTAACTAACTCAATTTTTGTCATAATTTCAGCTTATGTAATAAGAATGGGCAAACAGCTGAAGATCTTGCTTGGTCATGTGGATTTCCGGAATGTGCCAAGTTTCTTACAACAATTAAATGGATGCAGACAGTAAAATCAAGGGAACTGTCTGATAGGGATCATTGTGTTCCAGTGCTCAGACAGAAACGAAGTTTTGGAAGTGTAGAAAACACAAATGGGAAAAGGAAGCGTTGGTAAGTAACTCATAGCTTTTTCTTCTTTCCTCATGGATCTTTTGTTTAGCGTAGAACTTATTGTTCTATTTAAATATTGATACTCTTATTTCTATCATTTCTATCATATCTTATACTATCATTTCATCCTCATTAACATTTTATACTGCCTATAGTTAGTACTACTAGATTCCAGAGACCAAAAATTTTCATGCAGGGTAGAAGTTTGGGGAGAAAACCTTTTTAAAAAAGTTTTTAATGTTAACATGTTTTTTAAAAACAGATGTCACGTTGGTTATGAAGAGGTGTGAAGAAGGCCTTCATTTCATGCAGATCTACAAGCTCTGGCTTTTGGCTTACCGTATGTGTCTAAACTCCTTCTAAGAAGGAGGAAAACTTTCTTCCACATGAAGATAACACTTAAGAATACATGTATTTACATGCCTATAATATTTTGGTTGTGCATGCATGCTTTCTCTTTTAAGTTATTAAAGGATTGTTTAAAGAGTAAATCCTCTGTGCAGTATTTACAACCTTTGAAAAAAAATCAATAGTTTAAACCATCAAACTATACCCAGGATTTAATTTGGAGTTAAACTTATTCTTTATTAACATTTATAATACCACTTTACTACAGTCTTTGAGTCCAAGACATTTTAAATAATATTTGGTCGCTGAGGAAGACATAAGTTATAGTAAGCATCCTTGTTCCAAAAGTCTGGGCCCTTCCATCCACACCAGCCCTGGATTTGGGAGAAGGGAAAGAAAAACCTTTTATAACCTTATAAGACTACATGTCAACATTGTTAATGTGAGGCTCTGTCAGCAGTACCTTGGAATAACACTCTTACTACCAGTCTAATTCAAGGATTTTAATTCCTATTAAGCATAGAAAAGTAACGTATTTGGGTCCATTTAAGGCAGATTTTAAAACTTGATTCTGTAGTATTTAATCATAGAAATCATCAAAAAAGAAAAACTTCATTATAGTAACTGACACCAGATACCACACTTTGTTGATTATAATATGTATAGTTTTACAAATCTGGCAGTTGATAGCATGTGATAGTTTAATTGGCACTGTTTTTCTTAGTGGTCCATAAAAGACTACCATTCAGTGGCACCTTAGGTATGATCAAATATGGTAGTGAGAAATCTGAGCCTGTCCCATCATTTGCATTCTATGTCCCTTCCTTTTCCTCAGGCTGTAACCAATTCTGCTTTCCATTCTTCATGTCAGTGTTAATCCTTTTCCCCAGCAGAGAAAATTACTTTCAAACAGAATCTCCTTATGAATATGAAAGTTTATCGCATTTCTTCTAGGGCCACTGATTTATTTTCTTAAAGAAGAAAACTTGAAGAAAAAACTGATGACTGGTCTGTGTTATAACATTTCCAAATAAAATGCTCTGTTTGAGAAATACTTGTGAAGAAGCTAGCTGAGGACTCTTAAAATACCGCTGAGTGAGTGACAAGTAGTGGTTTTATTCCTTACTCTAACTCTGGAGCTGCTGGATATTCTGGCAGGCACCCCCAAAGTCAAAGTTCATAGTTTCTATTGAAGACAGTGTGTTAGCTCTATTTTTGTGTGTGGAAGAGGGACGGTTGTTGAGTAGAGATACTCTTTTTACTTTTTTCTTTTTCTGATTGTAAAAATAGGACACATTGTAAAAATTCAAACGAGATGGAAGTTAAAAAATAAAGAAATCCTCTGTTACTCCTATTTTATTCTGTTAAAAAATAAAGAAATCCTCTGTTACTCCTATTTTATTCTGTTAAAAAATAAAGAAATCCTCTGTTACTCCTATTTTATTCTGTTAAAAAATAAAGAAATCCTCTGTTACTCCTATTTTATTCTGTTAAAAAATAAAGAAATCCTCTGTTACTCCTATTTTATTCTGTTAAAAAATAAAGAAATCCTCTGTTACTCCTATTTTATTCTGTTAAAAAATAAAGAAATCCTCTGTTACTCCTATTTTATTCTGTTAAAAAATAAAGAAATCCTCTGTTACTCCTATTTTATTCTGTTAAAAAATAAAGAAATCCTCTGTTACTCCTCTGTTACTCTGTACCTCTCCCCAGATAACCATCATGAAGTTTATTGTCTTTTATACCTGTTTCCATACATAAATAACCTTCTATTTATTATCTCATTTTTTTCAGCAAAACTTTCTGTAATAAATTTAATGTCTTAAAATCTGTTTTCTTAATAGACAAATATAAAAAGGACTTATGCTATCTCTATTTTAACATTTTTGTGATGCTTTCGCACATGTAACCCTTCTCCAGGTAACCAGATCCAAATTTTTTTTTTTAAAGAGAAATGGGTAGAGAAGGTGCCAAAATGGGAGTATGTAGAGGGCCCATGCTAATTTCCTCTGAGAAGACTGGCCTGGACCTTCAAACAGGAAAGCTTCACAAGAGGGCAAAGAGAGGTCAGGCAGAGGCAGAACTCTCCTGTGCCTTAGATTCCCATAGGTCTACTGACGGTCAGGCTTGCCTTCTTAGTTTCTTGTATGCACTAATAGAGAAAGGGGGTTTCTTTTTTTTTTTCCTTTTTGTCTTTTTTCGTGTCCGGAAACGGATCGCAACTCTCAGTGTCGCGCCCGTACCAGACCGGGACCAGCAACGGGATCGCAACCCTCGGTGTTGCGCCCGCACCTTGCTCAGCCAGTGAGCGGGAACTGGTCTGTATGTGGGATCCGAACCCTCGGCGGGAGCGCCGCCACGCTCCCAAGCAGCGCACTGCAGCAGTGCGCCACCGGGCCGGCCCGAGAAAGGGGGTTTCTGCCCTTGCAAAGTTCTACAAACATATAACTAGCAAAGAAGGAGATTGCAGTTCTCAGAGAAAGTAATCAGGGACAATGCCTTAACTATCTAATTGCTTCAGGAAACCCTATCTAGATAATTCTGTCTACTGCAAAGCCCCTCAAGCCAGCCAGAAAGAAGCACCTTTTTTTTTTTTTTGAGACCAGCCGCACCGCGCTCAGCCAGTGAGCGTACGGGTCATCCCTATATAGGATCCGAACCCGCGGTGGGAGCGCTGCTGCACTCCCAGCACCGCACTCTCCCGAGTGCGCCATGGGCTTGGCTGTATCACTTCCTTGATGCTGAAAATAATTAAGGCTTCTCCTTGCCTTTGAGATAAAAATCTACATGCCTTGCTTCTCTGGCTGGCTCACAATGATGACCCTTCTTGATTTAGCTTCTGCCTGTCCCTCCAGCCACACCTCTTCGCTGAGCTCCAAGCATATTCAATTGCCTGTAGTTCTGGGAACATGCCAGGCTTTCCTTTCACTGCAGCCAAATAACTCACCTTAGATACCTTATTTTTCCCCTTGAGAATCCTTTTTGGATTCTCCTTCTCTGTCATTCTACACTAGACTGAGAGCTCCTTAAAGACCTTTATAAATACCCCTAGTGCTTAGGACAGTGGCTGGCACACGCAAATATTAGATACTTAATAAATGTTGGATGAATGAACACTTTATTACAGAGAGTACATATTGCTACTTTTTTCAGTAAGGTATGTGTACCAGTCAGACCTTTCATAGACTTAAAATTCTAAATGTCTTGAAAGAGAAAAGCAAGGAAAAAGAAATTGCTTAAAATGTTAAAAAACACATTTCTATCCCATTAGTATTACTATTGTCATTAGAAAAAGACTTTAGTAAACAGAGGATATAAAAGAGTTCAGCTACAAATACACTAAAAGCTCTTTCACATACATTTTAAAATATTTTATCCTTAGGGCTTTAGCAACCTAATGTAGTTTGATTCTCTACAACTTCTGAAAACACCTTACCAATGAATTTCAATGATAAACCATCTAATTCCCCAAGCATTCTGCTTTAAAAAAAAAAGAAAGTGACCTAATTAAACCACAACTTAAAAGTTCAGAGAAACCTTTCTTTGGTACTAATGATATCGACTTAAGTGGCAGCATCACAAAAATGAAGAGTAGTGGGTAATAGAATATATTCACTAGTTTATGGGTTTTTTTTGTGACTGGTAAGGGGATCAGAACCCTTGGCTTGGTGTCGCCTGCACCGTGCTCAGCCAGTGAGTGCACCGGCCATCCCTATATAGGATCCGAACCTGCGGTGGGAGTGCCGCTGTGCTCCCAGCGCCGCACTCCCCCAAGTGAGCCACAGGGTCGGCCCACTAGTTTATGGTTTTTTTTTGTGACCGGTAAGGGGATCAGAACCCTTGGCTTGGTGTCGCCTGCACCGTGCTCAGCCAGTGAGTGCACCGGCCATCCCTATATAGGATCCGAACCTGCGGTGGGAGTGCCGCTGTGCTCCCAGCGCCGCACTCCCCCAAGTGAGCCACAGGGTCGGCCCACTAGTTTATGGTTTAAAAGGTCATATGCATTACTGTATTTTTAGTATATCTGTCAAAGAACGTGACATTATTTAACATTTAATTATGCCTTGAAATTCTTGTCTCCTAAAGATTCAGTACTGAGTTTTCATATGTGAGAATTAGTTGCCTATAAATTTATATCTCCTTTAGCTGATATTGTAAGCATCAACGAACACTCTTAAATATATATGCACTTCAAATCCTTTACAAAATGAGATCAGGTTATATGTCAATAAATTAAACGTAGTCAAGCGTCCTTAATGTGCAGCATAGCATTTAGCTATTTTTTTGGTTAATTCTAAAATTATAAAAGTTTTTACAGTATATTCCATTCTCCTATTTTAAAACATTGATAAAGTACCATACATTTGTTTATGCAAGGCTGTAAAATCTTCAAAGGAATATAGTTGTGAGCTTTGCGTTCTATTATTAAGAGTAATAACTGAGAAAGTTTTTACGGATCTAAGCTAACTTTTGTCTTTTGCAATTTACTTTGTTCCTTCTTGTCCTTCCTACATATAGAGATATTTGAGGATCACCGCGCTCTGCTTACAGACTTTCTTTTAACAGCCAATTTGCTATCCTTCATTTCTGGGTTCTTTGCCTTGTGTCTAAATTTGTATTAAATGGATACTTACCTTCTCTAAAATCACTTGCAAATCTTCAGCGCCTGTATAATGTGGATCTAGAATAAGAAATTTTATCTGCCCTGTAATCTCATTCCATGCAACTCCTAGTATTGTGTGGGCCAAAACTCCTCCCCCTATAGAAGAAATGAAATACAGATGAGGGCATAAACTAATTTTAACTGCCTATTCAATTTAAATCTTAAAAGATTATTTTGCCTTTTAATCAATCTAAAACAGCATTAAATTGACTACCTTATATTATAAAAGACCACAATGTTAAATAAACTCTGAAAAAATAAAATTACATCTTTTAACACATACAATTATGTCTATAAACATGTAAAGTTTATTTTCCACTGTCATATCCACAGAATTACCTAAACTGGATTTACAAAAGGCCATAGGCATCCATAATCCTCCCAACAGAGTAGCAACCATGCTGTGGCACCTCTCAGCAGACAGTCCCTGCTGCCTCTGCTCTGAGTACCTCCAGTGATACAGCCTATCTATCTACTACT